GTTCAAGGTGATCACGCCAAGTGGTGTTTCCAATCTTCCTGCACCAAATCTAACTGGTTCGGGCTTGCGATCATCACGGAATTGGACTGGGGGCATCTCTCGTTGGAGAGCACGCAGTTGTTCGATTCCTCCCGTCGATATGCATGCCGCACCTGTGTCCGGCATGATTCCTTGGAACGAGTCTTGAGAGTAACGATCTAGTATGAATTGTGTGGGTTCGTCACTGTTGAATAACTTGATGCCTACTGGAGAGATCCGATGATGGAAAGCTTCGTTGGACAGAAAGGTCGCAGCAGCGTAGAACGATTCATAAGGGTCAGAGGAGTCAGAATCATCAGATTCCTCGGTGCTCGAGTCATCCTGATCCTGTGATTCCCCTTCATAGTCAGCCAAGAACATAGCATACGAACGAGATTGACCGTGGAAGCCTCTCTCTCGTAGATACTTCTCTTTGGCTGCTTTTCTCTCGTTTTCAGGATGTCTCGTTGAGAAACAATCTTCCTTGCCGCAAACGTAGCATTTCTTCTTCCAATTTGGCTGACGCCTTTGTGATTGACCTCTTGTTCCGCCGGAATTTCGCTGAAATTTGCGATCCACGAAGTGCTGATCGTGTCCTCTATCCAGGTCTTGGGGATATTGGCCACTGGGTTGTTCAGATCGTTCATCTTGCATGGCAGATAGCGATGATCGAAGCTGTGATGCCAACCCTCAAATGTAGGTGCGGGAGAGTATATCGCGAGTCGGAATTCAGGCACACCACGGCACGCCCTGAGCGTTGCATCGATCAGGCCACCTTCGCCGCCAGACTTATCCCCGAGTGCTCTCCTACAGAGCCGCAATTTCGTAAGAAGGGCCTGGAGGACCTCGTCAGATGACTTACCGGGCATCTCAGCCCGAAGTCGGCTGAAGGTGAGGTGCTCCAGTGGGTATGATACATCTTCTGGTTGATTTCGGTGTCAAAGTGCTCTTTCATCTTCTGATACATCTCAGCGAAGGTTAAATCAGTGCTGATTTCGTGTAGAAAGAAGGACTGAGCTTCCTTGGCCAGAATCGAAGGAAAACACCATGGAATTTAGACGGAGGAATGTTTGCTTGACGGCACACGCTCATGAATTTCCGGATCTTGTCATCGAAGATATCGTATGGTTCGCCGGTATAGGCTAGTTTCTTGTCCCATATCTTAATGAATCTAATCGTGAGATCGGCCTCAACTTCCTCGTTCTCGAATCGAACAGGTGGAATGCTCGTGTATGCATCTCGGAAGTTGGTAGTCCGTACGGGAGCGTCTGCTGATACCGAGGGATTCGCGCCATTGATGCTGAGGCTCTTGCTGAGCGGGTTGATGGGTCTCAATGATATGAGGGGATTCCGGTTCTGCCGGTCGGGTAATAGTTGGCTGCTGGATTACTATCGGTGCCGGTGACGATATAGCCGCTTTAACAGTTCCTTGGAGCAGCTTCTGTTTCACCTTATATGCCACGGTGTTTTCAGCAACCTCTTGACCAAGCAACTCGTTCTCATCCCATTCAGGAAGTTCGTTACTTGTTAGAAGGCCACATAAAGCTCGAGAGATGCTAGAGTTGGCCTTGCCCATATAGATCCCCCTAATTCTGAGAAGCGTCCGGAGTCTTGATCTAAGGCGTGGGTTGATTAGTTCGAAGTCATCATAGCTCCATCCCGTGAAGTCGTTATACAGATCCCCAAGCAGGGCAATTCCGTGGTTACGTTTATCCACCGTGTATGTTGCCACACAGCCTAAGAAGAAGCTGTTGCGGTGGACAAGGGAGGAGCTCTGGGTGATAGGTTCGTTGAGGAAATCCGCGTCGAAATGCCTGATCGGGAGTGAAGGGAGCTCCACGATCGTCAGGTTCCGTTCAACGAGTTGCCTGTCTTCGAGAGACACGTTGGCCGGGGTATCCTGGGCTGTTGCCGGGGCTAGTGCGGCAGATGAATTGTCAGACATATTGACAGGCTGTGTGCTGAGAAACAGGGCACAGGGTGTCAATGAGGTTATCAATGTGCGATAGGGCACGCCTAAGGGTCGCTGATGACAGCAAAGCTTAGGCACGGTTGGATAACTAGAGTGGGCTCTGATGCAGAGTCTTCGTAGCAATCCGCGCGTTGTAGCAACTATCCTACCGTCAGGAGCTCGCTTTGCAGAGCGTGACGATAGGTTAGCTCTCTTCCGTCTTGCTGTTCTGTGTCACCTTTGCCGGGCGACACTGATCAGTGTGGACAGGCTCTTCACTGCAGTGAGGTTATTCGAACTGGTTCAATTGGTTATATCTTGTGTAACTAGGAAACGTGTCCCATACAAACTGTGTGCAAAGACCTTCCTCCCTGTGTCTCACCTCTTACTCGCACGTGACTAGCGCGGTCGATTAGTTATACGTGCGCGATCGGTGCCTAGTGCACAGGTGGATCCAACAAGATATCCAAATAAATTTGGGTGTTGCGATTTGATTTGATTTGATTCAGCGCAGGGGCAATTTGATTTGATTTGATTTGGATAAATTTGATTTGATTTGATTTGATTTGATTATGATTTATCTATTTGCAAGTCTGCTTGGCAGCAAGAGCGATCCGACCAAACGAATCCTCAACGGCCTTCTAATAACGACTCGACGAATTCCTCGTCAACCCGGCCTGAAAGGCCACCCTGCGTGTGTGGACTGAAACACTACTTCTCAGATTGTTGGTACTACAACGAGGAAATCCGCCCAGCCTCATGGATACCAGATCCGGAGATTGAGGCAAAGAAAAATGACCGACTTGAGAAGAGACCACACCTCAAGGAGAAAGTCGAGCAGTCTATCAAGCAAGCTCGCGATAAACGAGAGGCTAGGAACCAATCTAGCACTCGAAACGACACTCCGAGAACGGGTGAACCGTCAGCCGCTGCTGCGGTCACCGTAAGCTCACCTCCACCGGCAGCCGCATCCACATCATACGTCTACCCACTTCGAGACTCTGTTTTGCTCGATTCAGCATCAGACGTCCACGTAATCCGGGATCGGCACCGTTTCATTGACTATCAACCCGCAGAGGAAGGAGAAGGGCTTCTTTCGGGGAATGATTCCTTGCCTATCCTTGGTCGAGGCACCGTCATCATCAATGTCAGCTACAATCGAACTTTCCAACTCAACCAAGCCTTACACGTCCCGTCTTTCCACACCAACGTTGCATCAGCCGATCGATTCCGCAAGGCAGGCATCGATTGGACCCTTATGACAGGAATTGTGTCAAAGGATGGCTGGGAGATATGTAGGACGACCCCGATGCACGGACAAAATGTCCTCGAATTCACGCCAATCCCCCCTTCTCTCCCGCCTGCTATTGCCGCAATGACCTCAAAGGATCCTAAACCTTCTGATCCACAAGAGGCGCAACTCTGGCACCGACGTTTGGGTCACTTGAACCCTACTGCGTTGGAACACCTCGTCGAAGCCACCACAGGCTGTAAGATCAAAGGCCCGGCAACTATCGACTGTGAGGTATGCTCCCTCGCAAAAGCGAAAAAAACAAGTTTCACGAAGACCGTCCAAGGCAACTTCTTCAAGGCCTTTCTGGCGGATCTACATTGACCTCTTCAGCATGCACCAAAGCTACAACGGCAAGAAGGTAGCATTGTTACTCAAAGATGACTTTTCTGGGCTCATTTTCTGCTACGCACTTCCAAACAGTCAACAGGAGACCCTTCTTTCAACACTTTCACGTTTTTCTTCGTACATTTGGCGCCAATGGAGGCTCCAAGCATGCGTCGTTCACCGGGATAACGACCGCGGACTCCAGTCGGGGTACGTTACATGGATAGATGATGAGGGCATTGAGGATGAACCCACTGCTCCTCACACACCGGCACAGAACGGCCCCGCCGAGCGTTCTGGGGGGGTGATAGGCACATGGGCTAGGAACATGCACGTCGAGGCAAATCTCGATGATGATATGTGGCCTGAGACCTGGACCGCCGCCACCTATCTACACAACCGGTCACCTCAACTTCGCGAGAACTGGAAGACTCCCTTCCAAAGGCTACACGAGTGGCTTAGGGACAACAACCGAGACACCGGTTACTCAGCGAATCCTTTACCCGACATCACTCACCTGAAGGCATATGGCTGCAAAGCCTATCCTTTAACTACCACTGCACTTCAAGGTACTCAGAAGAGAGACCTTAAGACTCAACCACACGCCGAGATTGGTTATTTGGTGGGGTACGATTCCCACAATATTTACCGCATTTGGATTCCTTCACGTTCGGAAGTCCGCCGAGTTCGTGATGTCACTTTCGATGAATCACAGGTCTACCAGAAATCTGCTGGAGACACTCCCCTGGTCATCAAAGAACCAGAAAACCCGTTTCCAGAGCACATCGACTCTGAGTCAGAGGATGAGGAACCCAACGATCGGATGGTTTCTCAATCCGCCCCTGAAAAACGAGTGCGCTTCCAAGACGAGGTAGCACAACTGCTTACCCCTACGGAAACCCCAGAGCCACTTGACACTATATTTGTCGCTGGCCCGGAGGACCCGCCTCCGAACCCCGAGCCTGAGCCAAATCAAGTGGACAAGACTCCTCAAGAGCCAACTAGACGCTCAGCCCGAATTGAAGCGAGGAAACAGTCTCATCCCCTCAGCTGCTTTTCACGCTGCATTCCGAGCAGCCAGGGAGGAACGACTCCACAAGCGGAGTCTTCCCCCCTGAACCACGATCCTGGAGAGAACTCGACTCTCACCCCTTCGGAGACCAGTTCAAACTTGCTGGCAAAACAGAAGTTGATGCACTCTTTTCCCGAGGCACCTTCAAACCCGTTCGGCGCGATCAGATGGATCCGACCGCTGGAAGACCTCTTCCCCTCACTTGGGCATTCAAGTACAAATTCAACAAGCACGGATACCTGACCAAGTTCAAGTCCCGCCTCTGCGTCCGCGGAGACTTACAGGAAACCAACGGCAGAGACACATATGCAGCGACGCTTGCAGCGCGCAACTTCCGCATTATGATGGCCCTAATGTGCAAGTTTGACCTAGAATCACGGCACCTTGACGCTGTGAACGCTTTTACCAATGCCGAGTTAGACGAACTCGTCTATGTCGAATTCCCCGATGGATTCAAACGCTTTGGCTGGGTTCTCAAGCTTCTCCGAGCCCTGTATGGTCTACGAAGATCACCCTTGCTCTGGCAGAAAGAACTCACGACCACCTTTGCAGAACTAGGCCTCGAGACCTGTTCTGATGAACCGTGCATCCAGATGAATGACTGGTGCATCATTTTCTTCTTTGTGGATGACATCTCGATTCTTTATCGGCAAAAGAACGAGGACAATGTCAACCATCTGATCACACGACTCAAACGACACTACGAACTCACCGATCAAGGTGAAGTGTCTTGGTTTCTTGGGATCCGAGTCATTCGGGACCGAGATGCCCGCAAGGTTTGGCTTTGCCAAGATTCCTACATCGACAAGATTGCAACCCAATACGGAATCACCAAGAAAAGCTCCTTTCGAGGCAACCCGCTGCCCGGAAATTCCCTTCAACGTCACGACGAACAGGCCTCTCCTGAAAGCGTGAACTTGTTTCAACAGAAAACCGGATCGATCAACTTCGTTGCGATCTCAACCCGACCGATGTTTCCTTTGGTGTTAGCAAACTTGCTGAACACATGATGAACCCGTCTTCCAAGCACCATGAAGTCATGGATCAGATGCTTGAGTATCTATTTGCTACGAGATTCTTCGCGCTTGAGTTCTCGGGAGACTCCAACGAGCTCCACCTCCTCACCAAGCCAAAAGAAATCCGTATTGCTACCGATGCTGCTTTTGCAGACAATCCCGACTCGAGGAAATCCTCCCAAGGATGCCTCATCACTCTCTTCAACGGTCCCATTTGGTGGAATGCCACAAAGCAAGCCACAGTCACAACTTCCTCGACTGAGGCAGAGCTCCTCGCCTTCACTCACACTGCCAAGGAAACTCTCAGCCTCCTTCGACTCTTCAAGCAAATCGATCTTCAGCTTGACAACGACCCTATCATTGAGTGTGACAACACGCAAACGATCAGGCTTATCACAGCTGACGTTCCCCGTGTCAGAACCGCGCTTAAGCACGTTGATATTCACAACGCCTGGGCAAGGCAAACGTTCCAAGAAGGCCACTTTGAGGTTGAGTACGTCCCAACAAACCAAATGATCGCGGATGGTCTCACCAAAGCACTGCCTGGCCAAGCCTTCAAGGCCTTTGTTCAGCAACTTGGTCTTATTGACATTTCCCCACGAATTCACCACGTTCCCTCCGACGACGAGGAGTGATATCACAGTTTGAGGGATCTTCCCTCAGACTGGGGGGGTGTGTTGCACTCAGGATACGTACCATTTGTACTTGACACATGACGGATCCTGTAACAGGACTATTTCCCTTTGCTTAAGCCACTACCCCTTTTCTTATGCACATCTGCAATCTGTCCTCATTAGATTATGCGTCTTTCCTTGAACTCTTCTACTCTCTTTGATCATAAATAGGGTTCTTGCTCACTCCTTCTTAGATAGAAGAGACGAACCTCAATTTACATGTTGACCCTTACCTTTCCAAATTACTTCCCTGCGAGATTGAAATAGGGTTTCGGATTGATTTCCAACGAAAAACATGTATAACCTGTAAGACGAAGTGCGTAAAATACTTCGAACACCCGTTAAGTTGCCAAGGCAAGGGGCTTAACGGCTGAATATCCAGCCCGAAGGGTGAACATCGTATTCCTGCAATTCAACTTTCCTAGGGGACCCCTAGAACCCCTTTGCCTGCGGCGGCCATCCAGCTGTTTAAACCGCTCCTTGACTGGCCCAATCTAACTATATACCCTATATCGAACCTCCCCTTCCTGTAGCTTATAGGAAGACGTCGTTTAGTCAAGGTAGAGTGGTGGATACGGTGCATCGCTCAGCTGTTGACCCTGACGCCGTTGTTGGTCAGCGAGGCGCATCTTCATCCCTGCTTTAGCCTTTGTAGTTAGCCGTAAACGCAGCACGTAGGGAGACAGGCTTATAAACCTTCTGTCGGCGTGTGGTTATAGAGGCTCTGACGATCGAAAGGCGCCTCAAGGAGTAAGCCTTGCAGCGACGTAACCCGTGACACAGCAACATAGCTAATACCGGCCTGGAAGTCGCGTGTAGCGAGATCAGTAACTATTTGCTCCTTCGTTAGGCTCTGGCATTTGTGAACAGTGATAGCAAACGCCACCATCAGGGGAAACTGCGTGCGAGCGCAGGTCTCGTTGCCCATAAGGAAATCACGCCTGACTGGGAGGATGGGTGAGATTTTCCTGCCCTCGTTAGTTATTAGATATGGCGGTCCATCGTAGCTATCAAAGTCCACCATAATAACGGCCGGGGGATCTTCCAATGGTTCGGCGCCTGGGTTCCAGGCGATATCGTATACAGTACCCTGGGGGCTGCAGCAATACACACCCGCAGGTGGTGCCAGGGAATGTTGTAGCTAGGTCGGCCGCGGAGCTAAATTTGACCTAGAATCCGTTAGTAACCGATGGGTTCGATAGATTCGACCCACGATGGAAGTGGAAGCGTGTGCTTGAAACTTGCATTGAAGAAAAGCTCTCGGAAACGGCTAGCTCGTTACCTAGTCAACGCTCAGGGGTTTGCGGCATGGCCTTCATTTGGTGGCGTTGCCAACCGACCACTCCCCGCACGAGTTGAGTACAGGGGAGGCCAATTAGCCAATGAGAAGAGGTTTTATGCCTCTCTTTCTGACTGAATACGAGAGGAAGGCTCGCCAGCCGCGGCTCGCGCAAAGAAGCCTTTCGGAACGAAATTTGGCGACAAGAGAACCGGAGAAGAGTTGGCTACAGAAGAGAGAGAGAGTTGGCGACAGTAGATTGGAGACAGGAAGAAGAGTGAGGTCGAGATACGAGACACGGCGAGAGACGTAGAGCATTATCGTGAGTGAAACCGAGACAGAGCGTCGGGGAGGCAGGCTAGGCCGCTGGAGGGAGATTTTGTTTAAAAGGCGCAAACTCAAAGGGCGTGGAGAGACGGCAGGGTTGAAGAGAGATGTGAGGGGTAATGCATGTCTGGGCGAGTGGAAGGCTCGGAAAATTTACATGTGCTACCGGTATAAGTCGTAGGTATAAACAGAATAAGGAGTATATTGGGGAAGTTTTGACTTGATCGTCTTCATGAAAAGGAGAACAAGAAGAGAAGAGAATGTGCTATTCGAGCCTTTGGCAGTTGATTTTGAGGATGATGAGACATGTTGTCATGTTGTATTGTTTCGTTTGATGCTTTAAAGTTTAGAGAATATTCTTGGGCGGACGTCGGGCGCGCAGTGGTCGGGAAGATATCGACGCGGGAGGTCTGATAGAGCCAGAGGCGGATGTGTCTTGGTGATTGACCTGTTCGGTGTCCGTCTCTGACTCTGCGGGTCTTCCGGGGACAGAAAGGAGGAGGTATCGGATTTGGGAGTCTTGACCGTCACAGTCGGTGATTATGGTGGAAGTTTCGGGAGAAAGTCGCGGTCTCTTGGTTGGGGTTTGGTAGGGATCGGGCAATGACCGACTTGATGCCAGCATAAGGGATCGACTGGGCCAGAAGCATGCGGCGTGGGGAGGCGGGGCTTTGGGCGGCCTTGGGTTTCTTCGTAGAGGTAAACCTGGCCAACGCAACGCTATAGTCCGAGGATTGCCGACCGCGCTTTTGGGTGTCGTCGGCAGTAGTTGTGTTGCAGAAGCCTGGTCGGACATGGCCTTGTCGTGGAAAGTCCACGTGTCGGGGACGACGATGAAGATATAGTCTTGGTCGAAAGCCGGGGCCTGTTTCATGATCTGGTGATCCAGTAAGCCGGCGATTTTGCCCGTACAGGTGAAGAGAGTGTTCGACTGGAACTGGCTGTCGCGCCTCTCGGTCATCTTCTTGCATAGGGAGGTCCAAGGATTAGCGTGAATGGGGAAGATGACGAAAACTTGGAAGGGGTGAAAGCCCTTGAAGGGGGTTTTGCCGGGAATCCCAGGACAAATAAAGGTGGAGAGCTGGACAAAGCCGCAGCAGCTCAGCTGGGTGTCGTCAAGGGCCGCAGCCGAGTTTCCATGCAGGAGGTCGCGGCCGGAGCCGATGACAGGTCCCGTGAAGGAGACAATGGGTTGTATCGTTGGGAAAGTATCCACCGAGCTGAGGTGCGAGTGACAATTCTATGGATATCGTCAGGAGGGCAGTGGCGACAGAGATTTGGAGCATAGACTCACGGTTGGTAGCTGTGATCGCGGACTATAAGCGCGGGGACGGTGTATTCTGTGATGTTATCATCGTCCGACTCCCAGCCATCACGTCGCTCGATTTCCCACGTCAGGGCAAAGGATGAACACGGCCGACCATGAAGAACCATTGCTCGGTCCATTCCGAGGAGATTATCTGTTGGTTGTATATGGAAATATTAAGGCTGAAGAAGATGCAGGTCGATGGATTGCCAGTATCTGACCGGATTGCTGCATACTCCGGAGTCGACAGCCATGAGGGCGTGGGAAGGAAGACCCTCGCTAGGGTTTCTGCGTTGAGCCCTTTGACACGATGCTCATTCTGGTAGGCGAACCTAGCCGGGCAGCCGGGCTGGACAAAGGCCATCATGGACATGTCGGCGCCAGCATTTTCTGGCTGTCAAGAGGTTGCCGCGGGAGGACGAGGTATCGACGTTGAGCTGGGAGGCCGACATCGTGAGAACATGGCAGATGTAGTCACCGTGGAAGTGTAAATGAGGGGTTACGCAGAGTGGAGGTGGGCATCCTATAAAGCAGGTTTTCTTGCTGCTCGAAAGAGGGCTCGCGGCTAGGGTCGGGGAGACTTAAGAGTCAGAGAATGCTACCTAGGTGATAGATCAGAAGCGGGGGTATGCGGGAATGAGCTGGCGAGGTTCTTGAACAGTCTCGACCATCTGGTTCTATGGTCGTGAGTGAAGTAGGGAGCCGGGGGTTGGAAGTTGAGTAGGGGTGATGGCTATGTCGCGAGAAGTTGGAGGTCGGCGAACAGTAAGGTTAGTGTGGGTAAGTCTGCGGAGAAAGAAAGTCCAGCAGTACCCTTCGGTGTCATCGTTGCATGGAGTAGATAGCAAAGGCGACAATAACGAATGAGAGTGAAGGAAAGAAAGAGGTTATGGTAGTATTGCAGGGGTCCCTTTTTGACGGTCGTCGGTAGTTGGATGGGCATTGCGTGCGGCTGAGCGAGGCGGGTGCCGACCGTGTCGAGTCCACTATTGGGACACGGTGAAGTCGGATATAGGGGACGACCTGAGGAGGAGGATGCGAGTTGGGCACGAGAACTCTCAAGAGGGTTTGCAAGTCGAGACTCCGGTGGCTAGCGACTACAAGAGGACAGGCAGGGGGATCCTGGCTGTCGCTTTAGCATGAAGGCCGTTGATGCGACGTTGGTGGTGGCGAGGGAGCAAACCTAGCCGGGTAGTCCGGTTGCACGAGGGACACCGTGGACATGTTATCGCCGGCAGCCTTTTGGCTGTTGCTCGACGAGGTGGAGTGGCAGATATTGATGGAGCAACTGATGCGCAAGGTGGGTGGGACGGCGTTGGAAGGGCCGGAGAGTATGGTTGGAAGTGTGCGGCGGGCGGTTGGCGCGGCCACCCCATGTGCCGGAGGTCGGCAGTAGCCAGGATTCGCTGGAGTGCGCAAAGAGAGCACGGCGATGGAAGGGCCGCCTTTGGCAAAGCTGGGGTAGCAGGTCGCACGTGGAGACCAGCCGAGGGTCGGGACGGTGGACGCACATAGGGAGGGTAAATGGGGATTACAAAGGGTAGTAGTATTGCATCGCTTCGGTACCATAGGCAAGCATTATAAGGGAAGAAATGCCACGGCCATGAGTAGTGATCGTTAGGAAGCTTCCCACTCGGAAAGAAATAGTGTACGCCAAGAAGCGAGATTATCCAAGTGGAAGTGCTCCGGAGCCAAAACTTTCTAGCCTGTTGCCAATCCACGCTAGTCGACGTCGAGGAGGCAGTAGCATGGCGGACAGTCCTGCAGGAAGCTAGGCGAGGCGGCCGCTCACCGTGGAGCCTGTTCGTTGTCAGTCGAGGATGGAGAAGAGGGTAGGAACGGGGAGTGCCTGTTTCGGGGTGCGGAGATGATACAGGGCAACTCCGAGAAGGGCACGGAGCACGGGAGACAAGGTTGGGGCGGTTCGGGAGATACAGATCAGTGGCGAATGAAGCATTAACGTTCCGGCTGATTCAGCCTAAGCAGTCTGCGGTCGAAGAAACCGCATGGAGAAAGCATGCAGAGGCGATCGCAAAGTCACTGCCGAGAAGACCGCCGCGAGGCGGTTTGCGGTCAAGCAGAGCACGGAAGTCCGTAATTTGGTCAGCAGCGGAAATTCCGCGCAACGTCAGTCACCGAGTCCGCTTCCGAGGTTCGTGTTGCCTACAGAACGTGGAGACCAGGGGCAGTGGGCTCTAACAGTCCACCCCTTCATCGGCCGTTTTGCCCCAGGAGAGGGGTCCTGAAGGTGACGGGCAGGGAGATAAGGCGGCGACCGGCGGTGTCCCGGGTGTTCGTTCGAAAAGGGACCGACGGTCCGACCTATCCAGCCCAAGGATACGACTTTCCAAGACCTAAGACGAACGGCGCAATTTGCAGCATCGATTGCATGGGGTTTGCCCAAGCTCCGTCGGGGACCGGTTCGGCGGCCAAGGGCACAGGTGGGTGTGGACGATGGCGCAGCAGAGGCAGCGGACGGCTCGCTGCGCGGACAGAGGCAGTCCCGGAGGCGGAGAAGAGAGCCCGTCTTCCTAGCCGGGATGGGCGCCCGATAAAACAGGTCCGAAGTGGAATCGGAAGGCATAGGAGACGGGAGCTGCAGGCCGAAGACCTGGCGAGTGTGCTGCGCTTTTTGGAGGAAGACTTTGCCTTGAAGGAGAGATTGTCTAACGATCAGACGTGGTGCACGCCAATACCGCTCGAGAGGAAGGTGTCGACGGTGCGAGACTTCTATCAGGCGTTCCACGATGCGAGCACGTTGCCGATACGGACCTGCATGGTGTGCTACCGCAAGTGTACGAGAGGAGAGTTGAGGGAGATTACATGGGATCATTGGCTGTCAAGTTGCGTACCAAAGGGCGGCCGCTCACCATTTTCATGCCGGAGTTGCTTTCCTGAGGGCGAGTCCGTGTCGGTGTGCGCCGAGTGTGGCCGATGCCTGGCGCGCAGGAGCCTGTCGCCGGCGATCCACCTTCACAGTCGCCTTGGCTGCGAGCACATGTTCCCCGATGAGCTCAAGGGACTGACGCCGGTCGAAGAGAAGCTCATCTCGCTGAACTCATGTTACGGGTTTGTCACGAGATATAGCATTCCGGGCGGGCAGAGGCAGAGCGTGAAGTATCCGAGGCATGTCAGGGCCACATCACGGTGTTTCCGAACAATGTGCAGGAGCTGGCCACCAAAGTGCTCCCGCACCCCTTTGCAAGCACTGGACGAGATCCACATCTCGTGGCAGGGCGCGGAGAAGCCGGCACCGAGCGACCTGTCGAGTCTCTTGTCGGTGAGGCGGCGGGTGGTCGAGAGGGCCCTTGTCTGGCTGAAGCGGAACAACCCCCACTACGCCGAGATCGAGATCGACGCGGCGGAGATGGAGAGCTGGGGAGACTCGATACACGGGGTACCGTCGTCGGTGTGCGATCGTATGGAGCGGAACGAGCCGTCTGGGTGGGAAAGCGCGGACGGCGCACGTTGTGCCGCCCACGGAACGCGCCGTGGACGAGGAGGGCCGGTGGAGATCGAGGAGCTCTTCGCCCTGCTCAACCAAGGACAAGAAGCCGGCGGCCAGGGTGAAGGTCACGGGCCCAACGGAGAAGGCGCGGTTCGCGATGGAAGTGACGCCTGCCCCGACCAGAACGTTCCAGCGATCAACGAGGTGACGTCTTCTGGCATGTTCGCGCTCGACGGACCGCCAGACGTCGCGGACGTGGAGAAGCTGCAGTTTGCCTGTGACGCTGTTGGTGAAGGTGCCGACGACGGCCGTGCGGGCCCGAGAGCGTGGGTCGGGTCCCTAGCCGGGGGGGTTCGGGGGCGTGGCGACGGTGGTTGTGAGCCATACATCCGGGTTTCGCGGGGTGAGTTTACCGATTCCTTTGAGGCGTCCTTCTTTGCCAGGACGTTCCCGACCCTGTTCCCATTTGGCGTTGGGGGACCAAGGCTGGTTGAAGAGACCATGGTCGACGCGGGGAAGGTCACGGCCAACTTGCGAGGCAGGGCTGTCGAGGCAGAGGCGGCCGCGGAGACCCGTATCGTCTCGAAGCTTGAACCTTCAGGCGTGGGCCGAGATCGTGCTCCGGCGCCATGGTGGTCGATTTGCACTGCACCACATCTTCGCATTTCTCGTCTTAACATGGGGTGCGGTCGAGGAACCGCCGGGTCAGCATGTTGAGTGTGGGAGGAAGAACTTCCGCAAGGTAGAGCGCATCGTGCGTTCGATGACCACAGAAAGGCTAGCGGCGGCGAGGGTCGAGTTGGAGAGCTCGGGTAAGACGACCGATGGTGACGTGAAGGAGCTTCTCAGGAGCCTCTCGCTTTACGGCCACCGGCAGCCCATGTCGAGAGGTCCGTCTCAATATGCGGCGGAAAATCCAGTCGCTCATCGTCGGATATGGCGTGCCGGCCATCTGGTTCACCATCAACCCGAACGACATTACGAACCCGGTGAAGCTGCGACTGGCGGCATACCGCACACGCGATCCCGACGCGGCCGAGGAGTTCTTAGAAGGCCTTGGGGATGCGTATAAGCGGGCACGGCTGGCGATATCGGATCCCATGAGCTCGGCCGTGTTCTTCCACCGCGAGATGAAGCTGTTCTTCGATCATTACGTGAAGGTCGGTGAAGAGTCGGTATTCGGGCGCATCGGCAAGTACTATGGCGCCGTGGAGACGAACGAACGAGGGCGCTTCATGTTCACGGCTTGCTCTGGCTGCACGGGAACGCGCATCTCAGCTCGATGCTTGCCGACATCCACGGGGAGGATCAGGCGGCGTATCGCGAGCGAATCGTCCGATACATCGATAGCGTCTTCTCAGAGGTAAGAATGCCTACCTAAGATGTGCCACCGGGAGCCTGAAGTACTCTTCTGATGGCCAAGTGGGGCCGGGTTGACGTGCAAGGCAGGATCTGGACCAGGAAAGTTTTGCGCCGTGCAAGCGGAGCGATCTGTGACGGGCGGTATTGGTTCCCTGCTGGACAACGCCGCGCAGTTCTCGGCCGCGTTTATCGAGGAGGCCAACTTCTGTGCCGGCGCGACGCAGGTGCACACGCATAGCCCGACCTGTGTGAAGTATTCCTTGGGCAAAGGAGGGCGGAAAGGGGACCTCTGCCGGTTCAAGGCGCCATGGAGGTTAGTCGACAAGACCGCCCTCACGGCAGACGGGGTGCTGCAGATCCGGAGGACACACAGCATGGTCAATCGATGGAACGAGGCTATTGCTGTCGGGCTCCGGCACAACCATGATATTTCCTTCATTGCGACGCAGCGCAAGACAATGGCCCTCATCTATTATGTCACGAACTACGCGACCAAGGTGGAGGACCCGGTGTGGAAGCGTGTGGCGGCCGCGGCCGAGCTCCTGGCCGCCTCAACAGGTGATGGCACGGCCAACGGAGGGCGGGACGGTGGCGGAGACGCTGCCACCGATGACCCTGTCAAGGGAACAGGACGCGACAGTTCCTGATGAGAGTGGCGAACCGCGTGTTCACGGAGCGTCCGCTATCACAGGTCGAGGTCGTCGCTCACCTTCTCGGATATCCGGCCGAGTTCACCGACAGCAGCGCGTGGGCGTACCTGAACTGTTCTCTGCTGTACTGGGAAGTCTTTCGGCGATGGCGGCATCTCCGAGAAGCCAGTGGCGCTGCGGCTATGGATGACACCTTGGATGAGTCGGTCGTCGTCGAAGAAGAAGGCCTGAGAATCTCCCACGTCGAGGCGTACCAGCACCGGGAGAGCTGCTGAAAGGCCTATGCCTGTATGACTACATATCGATCGTCAGACTGAAACGCATCGGCAACGACGAGAGCTGGGCGGCTTGGGGGGAGATGTCTTTCGAGGATGGATGGGCGCCGGGACGACGCTGGGTTCAGGTGCTCAGGCGGCCGGGCAAGCACGCTACCGTCGGGAGTCCTTCCTGGGCGAAGGAACAGGTGAGATCAACAGCATCTGGGCGCGGGCTCGAGACGCTATGGCCCCGAGAATATCATGTCTCGTCGACAACGTGCAGCTGCTTCGACGATTCGCCGAAGACGCAAAACGCGACGCCAAGCAATGGGCAGCCTCGTCCGGCGATGGCGACCCGACGGTCGCACACGTCGAGGAGGGTGGAGCAGGCGAGGCGGGCGCGGAGTCTGCAGCGACATATCAGCCCAACAGCATCGGAGACGCAACGCGGCTCATCGACGTCGTCCGAGGTGCAGTGGGAGCGAATCAGGTGACGGCCAAGTCGCCGGAGCTCATGGCAATGATACAGCAGCTCTGTCGGTTTCAGCAATCGGCGCTGCGCTCGACGGCCGAGCTCGAGGCCACGGCGCTGATCGAACGAGGAGAGGCGGTTAAGCATGCCAGGGCGGGTATTTTCCGGGGCCGCACTACCGCCGCAGGATCAGGTCAAGGCTATCAAGTCGCAGCAGGTAAGTGCCTCGAAGGAGAGGGAGAGGATGATCCAAGGGATACAAAGCACGCCCGCCGCCTGGGAAAGCGATCGCCGCGCAGCGTTGCGAAGGGTGATGACCGGTTTCGGGGAGGACGAGATCGAAATGACGATGGCCGACTCCGACGAGACCGCTATCGACGCAGGGGCGGGAATGGACGTTCAGTTTGGCCCATCAACCTCCTTCCTCGCGGCGGGCAAGGTGTTGGCAACACGGCTGACGCTGAACAAGAGGCAGTCCATCGCTTTTCTGATAATATGCCGCCAGCTCGATTTGATGCAGCAGACCGACAGGGCGATGCCTGCCAGCTGCGCCAGTTCGTCGGTGGCGAGGGCGGTACCGGCAAGTCGCGAATCATCGAGGCACTCGTCGAGCTGTTCAGTAAAAGAGCCTTTCGAATCGTCTGCTGATCACGGCGACGTCGGGGACTGCGGCGGCGCGGATCAACGGCATCACGATCCACTCCGCCTGCGGGTTCACTAAAGACCAAGGGCCGGGCGCGAACATGGTCAAAGACCTTGACGGGTGCGGCTGCCGAAACAGGCGGAGCGGTTCATCCACGGCCAGTCTCGAATGGATTGGCAGGAGAAGGATGTGCTCGTCATCGACGAGGTGAGCATGCTCGGGGCGCGGACGCTGCACGCCGTGAACGAGCGGCTTCGCCGGCTTCGCGGATCGCGGCAAGATTTCGGGGGGATCCCCATCGTCCTCTTCTGCGGAGATTTTCAGCAGTTCCGGCCGGTCCAAGAGAGGTCGATCGTCCTGCCTAGCGCGGCCATCTCGTGGGACGTAGACAACTCGTTCAAGGCCGAGCAGCGTCACCAGCACGACAAAGCGCACGCACTGTGGAAGAGGTTCACGACGGTCGTCATGCTGGACGAGCAGATGCGCGCCGCCGGCGACCCGGAGCTGCAGAGGCTGCTGAAGCGGATCCGTCTAGGCGTGCAGGATCGGACGGATCTAAACCTCCTCAACTCAAGGTGCTACCGGGAGGAAGGCGGATCCCTTGGGAGACGGGCATCACCGTGGTGACGCCGCTCAATAGGAATCGGTGGAACCTGAACATGGAGGCGAGCCTGGCGTTCCGGGTCCAGCAGCGGTCGACGATGCGCATTTTCATCTCCGAGCACAAGTGGAAGGAGGAGCTGCCGACGGAGGAAGAGGCGATCATGATACTCAACCAGGGCGACGATAGCGCGATCCCGGTGCCGGCCGTCTTCATGTTCGTGGCCGGGATGCCCATCGTCGTGAACCACAACACCCACCAGGGGCTGAAGCTAGTGAACGGCGCGAGCTACTCGGCGGTGGAGGTCATTGTCGACAAGGCGTACCCGGGGCATCGGATCTCGGCCGATATGACGATCCACTTCGGGCCGCCGGCGGGGATCATTCTCGAATCGGAGACGACGAGATATCTCCACTTCGTCGGGATGCCGCCGGGCACGATCTTGTTGACACCCATGACCGTTAAGATACAGTGCCAGCGAAAAAGGCCGTGGCAACGCAACGACGTCAGCCGAAAGGGTTTGCCGTGCGCAGCAGCGTTCGCGTGCACGGACTACAAGGTGCAGGGCAAAACGCTGGAGCGCGTGGCCCTCGAGCTGCGAGGACACGGACGACGAAGATGGATGGAACGGTGGTGCCCTCGCAGTGCGACCCGTACGGCCTGTACGTGCAGCTATCGCGCTGCCGAACTCTAGACGGCATCATGCTCGTGTCCAAGGTGCGGGACAGAGACTTGGTGGGCAACCGGGTCCCCGAGGAGATGACTGCCGCACAGGCCAGGCTCGAGGTACTGAGCGAGAGGACCGTTGAGGAGGCGTTGCGCTGGCTGGACGGTGATGCTGAAGAGTCAAGGCGGCCGCGCTAGGTGACGCGATGAAGAGTTCGGCAGGCGGGAAGAGTCGGCAGGCGGCAGACAGGGTGGGAGGCGCCTAGTGGTGGGATAAGGCACGCGAAAAGGCAACAGAAGCCGGGGGAAGGGCAGCGACCAACGAGGAGGGAGGCAAGGAGGGACCAATCACAAGGGACCAATCAAGGGGCGGAGAACTTTTGGGGGGAGAGGGCGGGGTCAGCGGGGCACGTTAGAAGGCCTTTCGTTCCTCAAGGCAAACGCCCTTCGGGCTGAATGATCCAAGTGGCGGAACCCCGGTCGGGGAGTTATGATATACCCGTTATGTCACCGTATAAAGGCGGGGTGCCAGGTAGCCTCTAACCTATCTGTCATCTCTAGGGTAGGAGGCAGGCTGGCTCGTCAATATTTATGCGAAGCAGTTGAGATGCCAATACATTCGCTTCTTTCCGTTGTAATTAAGCATACTGGTAAGCGTCTAAACACAAGCTTTGCTAAGAGCTTCCGCCTGTTATTGACTTTATTATGCTATCAAAACATGTTGCTAAGTTATCGTTTCTGGTCGAGAAAACCCATTATACCGGATGTTGCCCTGCCAATTTGTTCAAGTTTGTCAGTCGGGTTACAGTCCAAAGCGCAGATTGAGCCTCGGCCACACTTCTACGGCCCCAGCTACACCAATCATTAGCTTCATAGGTCGATGCACCGCAAGCCTTCTGATGCTCTTCTCGTCGAGGCTCAACTGAGGATCTCCACCGCCGTTGCGTACGCAAATTGGATGCCGACGTTAGGAACACTGGGGCGTGTCGCTTGGCTGGCACGAGATGAGCGCGAGACGAGCGCGAAGCGAGCACGTACGGAACAATTCGCGACGATGTTAAGTTTCGTTGTGCGCCGACGCTAAAAGGGATATGACCGATCATTGGCCGGCAAACTCAAATTAATTGGATTCTGTGGTCCAAACCAAATCACTAGGACTTCCTAGGGTGGTCAAAAAGAGGAAGTTGTCCACCACAGAATGATCTGACCGGAGCTGCCACAAACAATCCGGTTTATCCCACCAATCCTGCTCTCCGCCAGATTCCCATGATCGCCACTCTTATTGTCTAGTGCAGTCCCTAGAGGATCATGTCCTCCATCGTGGATCACCCGAGGCTGGCACCTATATAGATGATTCTGACCTTATTAGTGGGACAGCGGCTTCCCGTCACCGGCACCATCCTCTTCGCCTGTCCTTAGCGTCTACCGCCGAAAGACGTCTCCTATTTGGCAGTATTGTCGAAGAGAAGAAGGTAGGAGTATTCCGGCAGCTTGGGTTGATTCCAATGGAACGAAATGGTGGCATTGCCAGCCCTGCTTCGACAAGAAAAGAGCGAAGAAATACAATTACTGTGGTGGGTCGTCCGCCATCGTCAATCATTTGCGAAAGGAGCACAATATCATTATTTCTGGGCGGCAGGAGATCAGGCGGGAAGTGACGCAAAGTCGCCTCGGAGACATCACCGCATTCCTGGCCAATGGAACTTTGTTCTCCACCAAGAAACGCAAGGCGACCGCAGAGGAAGATGCCTAGATCAAGCGACTCTCCGCGAACTGTACTGCCGTTATACAGTAGCTTGCAGCCTCTCATTTGCTCATGTTGAGCAGCCGGCCTTTCGCGACTTTATCCGGTATATCCGTCCGGCCGCCGATGATCTCCTCCGAGGTCCGGCGACACGGTTAAAAATGACTTACAATGGGGCTACGACAACAAGAAGGAGTTTGTAAAGCGAGCTCTGCAGAATGCTCTCTCGTCAATCCACATTGTTCCAGACAATTGGACATCGCCGAATTGTTTGGGCGTAATAGGGTTTACAGTTCAATTCGTTACCGAAGATCATGGTCTGCAGTCCCTGGTGGTGAGGATAAAAGAATTGGAAGGACAGCACAGCGGCGAGAACATGGCAGAAGCCATCATGGAGTTCATACGAGAATATGGAATAGCGACAAAGTTGGATACTTTATGATGGATAATGCCACCAACATGAATACCATGATCGACAAAGTCTCCGACGACTTGGAGCACGAGTTCGAAGTTTTCTACGATCCTCTTCCTCACCGACTTCGCTGTTTCGGCCACATCATTAACCTGGCCGTGATGGAGTTCCTCATAGGAAAGCGACCACCCACAGCAGATTCCTACCACGGACCGTCCGACGACGAAGTTAAGCAATGGAGAAAGCGAGGGCGATAGGCAAATTGCATAATATCGTGGTCTACATCACCTGGACTCCCAGCGACTTCAGACATTCACTGGTCTCACTGACGGTCTACGGCTACGGCGCGACAATGACACTCGTTGGAATTCGTGGCATAGCATGGTTGAGTGGGCCCTTAGAACAAAAGTCCGTCAAGGCATCACCATATTTTGTGCTCAAGAGCCTGCCCTGCAAGACGATGCTCTGACTTCCTCTGACTGGGTTACTTTGGCTGAAATTCACAAATTTCTCGAACCTTTTCACGACGCTACAATGGCCAACGAAGGCACCGGCAATTCCATCTCTGACGTTCTGCCAACCATGGACTATCTCTTGCATCACATTGAAGCGGCCAAGGAGGCCACTACCATCCCCCACTTGGCTACAATGATGGAGACGACATGGGCCAAATTAGCCGACTACTACGAATTGACGGAAGATTCGCCAGTCTATTCAGCAGCGACGGTATTAAATCCTTCCCTCAAGTGGGCCTATATGGAGAAGACTTGGGACGACAAGAATGAATGGATTGAGAGAGCTAAAGCTCGGGTAGGGGAGCTCTGGAGGGAGGCATACAAATCTACCACTCCCTGCCCTGTTCTTCGACCAGCTTCCGCACAAGAGCCAAGTGCAAGACGACCAAATGGGTACAAAATGTGGATGAAAGAGCAAAGGCTACGATTTTCAACATGGATGACGACGAGTACGAAGTGTATTGCCGCGAGCCCCCTAACTTATCTTTGATGGCCATTGACCTTCTATCGATTGCGCCTATGTCTACTGAGACAGAGCGGCTCTTCTCCAAAGCCAAACTTTCGGTAACCGACCAGCGAGGATCTATGAACATTGAAACTTTAAATCTCTTGGAATGCCCACGATCCTGGGACCGGAGCGCTCTGATACTCCCATCCGAGGTAAGATTTCTGTTTCGTCAGATGAAGAGTGTCTAATTATGGATTCCAGTGTCGCTATATCGATCCGGAAGCCACCGGTACCGGGTCTGAGTCTCTGATTCAGGAAAGGGGCGAGGAAAGCTGCACGTAAGGCAGGCAATTCGGTGAGGGCGCTGGAAAACTTGAAGGCAACCTTGCAGGTGCGACGGGTGCAATGCCAAATGTCAGACTATATGTTCACACTAATAGTGTAGACCACAGTTTGCACTGTAGTTCAGTTTGGCCGCGACGAACAGACTAATAGTTCAGTTTGAACATCTCAGGCACACTGGTAGTGTAGTGCGGCCAAGTCACACGCACTGAATGAGCAGTTTGAGGGGTCCAAACGCACTGGCCACACTATTAGGAGCACTGATGGCAACTGCTCCAGCACTCTCACATATCAGTCCTCAACGGTCGACGATTCAGAGGACAATAGTAGCAACTGCTCAAACAGCTTCATAGAGCGGCGCGAGCTTGATCAACCGTTTGATCCATTATTTTGTGACACGTCAAAGACAGACTAGACAGTAACCCGCTAACGGTCGGCCGAGCTTAAACTCCTGAGGAGAACTCCATACAACGACCGAAGCTTCCCCACCCTAACCTTTAAGAACGTTTCAAACTCACCCAATGAACCCGCCACAGGAAATTGGAGTTACTACAGTCGCCAGTCGTGTCAACATGCTGCCAGCCCATCAAACATTCTCCGCGTCAAATCACGGGATGGATACTTACACACTAGAGTTGCCATCTATATCAGCATACAGCGAGCAGCGAGCAGCCAAGACTCGACGTCAGATCACGGGATGGATGGATACTTACGGGCTAGAGTTGCCATCTATATCAGCATACTGCGAGCAGCCAAGACTCGACGTCAAATCACGGGATGGATACTTACGGGCTAGAGTTGCCATCTATATCAGCATACTGCGAGCAGCGAGCAGCGAGCAGCCAAGACTCGACGTCAGATCACGGGATGGATAGATACTTACGAGCTAGAGTTGCCATCTATATCAGCATACTGCGAGCAGCGAGCAGCCAAGAGTCCAAGACTCGACGTCAAATCACGGGATGGATGGATACTTACGCCCTAGAGTTGCCATCTATATCAGCATACAGCGAGCAGCGAGCAGCGAGCAGCCAAGACTCGACGTCAGATCACGGGATGGATAGATACTTACTTGCTAGAGTTGCCATCTATATCAGCATACTGCGAGCAGCGAGCAGCGAGCAGCGAGCAGGCCAAGACTCGACGTCAAATCACGGGATGGATACTTACACACTAGAGTTGCCATCTATATCAGCATACTGCGAGCAGCGAGCAGCGAGCAGCCAAGACTCGACGTCAGATCACGGGATGGATGGATACTTACACACTAGAGTTGCCATCTATATCAGCATACTGCGAACAGCGAGCAGCGAGCAGGCCAAGACTCGACGTCAAATCACGGGATGGATGGATACTTACTTGCTAGAGTTGCCATCTATATCAGCATACAGCGAGCAGCGAGCAGCCAAGACTCGACGTCAGATCACGGGATGGATGGATACTTACGGGCTAGAGTTGCCATCTATATCAGCATACTGCGAGCAGCCAAGACTCGACGTCAAATCACGGGATGGATAGATACTTACGCCCTAGAGTTGCCATCTATATCAGCATACAGCGAGCAGCGAGCAGCCCAGACTCGACGTCAGATCACGGGATGGATGGATACTTACGCCCTAGAGTTGCCATCTATATCAGCATACTGCGAGCAGCGAGCAGGCCAAGACTCGACGTCAGATCACGGGATGGATAGATACTTACGAGCTAGAGTTGCCATCTATATCAGCATACAGCGAG